CACTGCTTTCACAAAGAGCTAAACTTACAGCATGCTGTGTTTGTTGTTGTTGCTGTTGTTGTTGTTGCTGCTGCTGCTGACGATGAACTTGTTGCATGGTCTGCATGCCCTGGATCCCTTGGGCTATTTGCACTTGCACAAGATTCTGAGGGATATATCCGGCTGTAAAACGAAGTCCTTCTTGGAAATCATTAAGTAACGAAACTACAATTAATATACTACATTATTGCAGTTCCGCTAATATCTTGACATTCCACTTCAACTGAAAATTAATGTCGACTAAGCCCTTAACAGTAGACACTCAAACAGCCGCGTTGACTTTTTTCGCACAAGCTCCAATCAATAAGGGAAATACGTCAGCGGGAGCATCATTTCCGCACGGCCCCACATACCCCACTTTCCACGAGTTTTCTTAATAATGCACGCTAGTAAAACAACTCATTGCGGTTACTAGCACCGGTTTTTTTGTACGGAGTAACCAATTGAGGTGCACCTTAAACTATACCAATCAGTCAAAAGTCGTCTTTTAACGGCTCGAAAAACAATTGAAGCGACATAAACGCAATGTCGAAGATGTAGGGATCTAATCATGTGACGAGAGAAAACCATACTAAGCGAAAAAAACTAAGCTTATTTCTAACCACGTCAGTGAAAAGCATCTGAGAAAACGATAAAACATCTAACTTACGGTGCATAGTGGATGTATTCAGAACCATCGGTCCATTAGGTCCTTGAACAACCATCAGAGCAGTGTTGCCCGTTCGCATCGCATTCTGAAACTTCAAAGCAAAAAGGTTAGTAAATAGTGTACGACTCCATTAGACGCCAGAATATGAGAAATGTGCAAAAAAAGTATGAAGAATTAATAACCATCGCTTGTTGAGTAACCATTCCCTGGGCATTTGATGCTTCCGTAGGATCTGAAAATCTCAACAAATCGCTGGTAAGTCCCGGAAATCGATGGCAAATAAAGTAAATCGAAGAGCCATCAAAGAACGAGTGAATAACTGCAGCTCACAGCTACCAAGTTTGCCTTCGCAGAGCAAAATCGCTAGCAGGGCAAATCAGGGGCAGCACAGAAAGCCACAGCAGTACTTCCAGGTGCAGGACAGAAAGCCAACCTGCCCTCACAACATTACAGGCTCTACTCGGTCTTTAACGGCTATTCACGAATGGGCCACACGCTACCGCTCAACTTACGTGGCATAAACCTGATATTTTGTCCGATTCGAGCGTTTGCTGGAAGGAATTGCGGCATGAGTTGGATAGAATCTGAAGCGAGCAATTGATGAAAATAAGAGTGCAATATCAGCAGCTTCAGCCTCATCCTTAACAGAAAGAAAGGGAAAAAAGTTTGAGCACAAACGAAAACGAAACAATTGATGAACTATGTGCTGACCCGTCCCCGATCGACACCCGCCTGGGCCCCAAGGGACGGCAAATTGGTATCAGATTCGTCTGGAAGGATAAAACAGACTTTTACATCCGGCTGGCCCCCGCATTGTATAGGCCACATCGCATTCAATAAGTCACTACGATTCCGAATGGAAGTAGAATGCGTGCCGCATCCCAAAAAAGGGATGTATCAATGCAAATACTTCATCCTTATGCTGACCCTTACAGAAATCTCGGTACGATGGGTCGATTTATGCTCTCATTAGTGGAGCGCACGGGAAGCGCCGAAAGGATTCCTAGAACAGCACTGCCCCCGATTAGCGTAACCAAAAACCATTCCTATATAGAAAATGAAGAAGCCTCTTAGTACAGACGAAAACGAAACAGCTGGTTATATGCTGCCTATTGTTGAAATCTCGGAAGAACATGTGGTTACAGAGCCTCAGCCAAACGAATCTTCCTTTCGCTGTGAGGGTTCGGAGGCATTTTCTCCCTCTGGATGAGCATTCGAATAGGAAGAAAATAAGGAGCAGGACAGAGAGAGGGAGTAAAGGAGAAGAAGGAAAGGAGAAGAAACAGGAAGGAGGAAAGTTTCACGGTTCTCAAATATCCTGCGATGTCGAACCTTTTAGCGTTCGCTCGGAAAAAGGCGAAGAAAAAGAAAAAGAAGAACAAGAAGAAGGAAAAGAAGAATGAAGACTTTGTGAAGGGGCATCGTCTATCACAAGTAAAGGAATAACTCAAATTATGCTAGCAAAAACATTATAGACATTGAACAACGCTGCCCAGCTAGTATGTGATCTTTACCTCGCATGTGTCGAAATAAATGTTCACTTAACCCTATGAAAAAACCATGAATCAATATCATCGCAGTCTAGCGCAGCAGCAAAGCACAAATTTTAGCACAAACAATTGTTTGATGAAAAAGGCTAATCGCACTATCATAGACAAGAGACTTTTTAGATTTATCCCGAATTTGAAAGCTTGCCGCGCAGTATCATCTATTTCCTTCTGCTAATCCACTGATTAGAAGGATTTTGACTCTCCTCGGGATCGATAAACCGCACGCGATGCTAAGGAGGTCACAAGTTCTAAGAGAAACGGCTTTCTGATCCAAGAACTGAAGAAAGCTATCTGAATTTGGGTGCGAACTAAGGCAAATAAGAATGAGGTTAAAAAATAAAATAGGAAAGCACAGAAAAATCATAGAAGAAGATATTTGACGCTAAGTGAAGGTTTTAATCAAACAAAAAGCTCCTTACCCAAAGTAGAGAAGAAACATAATCACAAGACGACAAAAAAAACACACTTGCAGCTTGCTGGCCGTCACCCATCGATCCACCATTGGAAACCATGCGCATCGGAACGGGAATCAATTGTTGCGGCGCCTAAACAGACAAAGTCTCGGAAGCAGGAAGTACAAAAACACCGGTAGACTTTTCAAATTCAAAGCTTCGCATTCAGCAAAGTCTGAACAGAACCTGCATCGAATTCATGGCAATGACACGTCCGGTGACGGGAACTTGTTGAACCTGGTGCAATTGAACCATTTGAGGCGTTCCCTGGGCACTCCTCATCTGAGCCTGCTGCTGATTTTGCAGTTGGCGAGGAGCCGAAGCACCTTAAATTGATGAAGTCACCATCGTATGGAGAGGGGGGTGTTCGTTGCTTTTAACATATCTGATTTTAAACGGAACTGCTACTCTGATCTCATGACAATTAGCGAAAGAGGCTTAGGTAGAAAAACTGCCGAACAATGGTTTACTTCGTTCCTGAGTGACGCAGGTTGACGAAATAGGGAATATATAGTAACATAGATAAATAGACTTGACGATAAGTTCATGGGGAGCAATACCGCAGATCGCAAGTAGCAACAGAAGATGAAGAAGAAGGATGATGATGATGATGATGATGATGATGATGATGATGATGATGATGATGTTAATAAAATTCGAATGAACTGATACTGAAGTGTACCAGCAAACACAAAAAATATGAACCGATTCATTGATTGACCGACTCTTTCATATAACGCAAATTGACAGGAAAAAATATAACGCTGAAATGGTTCACTGAATAAAACTGGAGGAATTTGACAGGTTTCAAAGGGACGTAGCGACTTGACAATGAACTCTTAGGAGAGGTGCGATATGAGCGAAAGACTTATTAAGATCATCCAGATGAAGAAAATGAGTTGGAATTTCAAAAAACTTTTCCTTTCGAACGAAGAACACTCAACGCAACATCTAGTGGTATTACAACCAATACCAAAATCCCCATTAGTAAGCGGCCACTATTCTGGTTTCGTTCACATTCCTAGACTAGGACTACGACTGAACTATGACCAAATTGGAAGGAGATGACTCAGAACAAGAGAGAAAGGACCTGTTTACAAGAAAGTTAAAACAACAGGACCTGCCCACACAGAATTGCAATAACTGAAACTTTGAGATCGTATAACTTCGAATGATTACCCGCAAGCAAGTTACCTTGTGATACGGAGCCAACCATTCTCACGTCGTTTGAAGCGCTTTGCTGTCTCGGTGCCAGATTTCGTAAGCCTGCTGTCGAGTTTACTGCACGGCCCTGCTGAAACGATTGACTCTTAAATACATTGGATTCTTAAGCGAAATAACTGATGGAAAATCTGCCTTCCGTGGGCCAACGAAGAAAAACGGACCCAAAAACAGCTTTGGTATGATACATGACCTTATTTCACGTTTCCCTCTATATAATACGTATTTATCTAAAGGCGTATCTACTTCTCGAATATTATAGAAATACAGTGACCAGCGCTGACAACACACGTAATCAAAGACTGCTAACAATAATAGGTAAGTACCATTATGTAAACCAAAGTAATCCAACAAAGAAAGGTATACAGCAACCAAGGGTATGCTGTCAACATTAGTCGCCTGCGACGCCCTTGTACCACGGTCTCGGAGTCATAGGCCCCTACCGGAACTCCCTCACACGAGTGTGCCGTTAGTCCCGGTGAAATCGGCATTGGCGGGGAGCTCAGACCCACCCGGTGAGGGGGTCCCAGGTCCAGACCTCAAAGTTTCACTGCTTTTAGTCCAGGGATGACCTTGGCCTTGAGAGATGGATGAGGTGCCTCACTCGAGGATTATGCCCCCTCGGTTGAATGTGGGCAGCAGCAGTGGGGAGCGGGATCAAGAAGAAGACGGATATGTGACAAGACAGTCGTAATTCGTCGCGCTGGTGGACGTCGCGCGCAACGCCGCATTCGCAAATGGTGATGTTTCAAGTACTAGACGGCTACAATAGGCGATGGAGAACCAAAAAATAGCCTTGAATAAGTACGATTCTGTAATCTACGTGGAATCCATTGCTCCAGTCGACAGGTTAATGCAAATTAAGAGAACGCCGCGCCCAAGATCGCGCGCGACGGTCGAACTGCAGCGGCAAATTACGATTGTCCTGGCCGTCTCCCAGAAAGGACACTCCCGTTGAACCGAAGACTCCGGCCCACTCACCGGCAAACTGAACTCAATCCCTCTGAGTGCGCCCATCACCTGTTATCCCTGCACTCGCTCATGGAATTCTATGGTCATTGTGAATTTACACATTCCAGCTTTACGAACTCCCTTTCCCTGAATCTTACCCCACCCGCCCTTTCATCATTCACCCACGCAAGTGGAGAAGGACACCTGCAAGAGAGTACCGGAACAAAACCTCTGTTGATAAGGCTGCATGTCAACTAAATCGCTCGGGTTGTGAGGTACTAACTCAAGTCATTTTCCACGGCTTGATCGCGTACTGCAATGATTGTAAAATAACACTGAGCTTGAAAGACATTATGGATGCGTATATCGAGCAAATTGAACTTTCTCTCCGAATACCAAGCAGGTACGTACGTCATTCACTGACGAAACAGTTCGATGAACCAGAACGTTAAAATAAATTTTTTTAACGGGATTTGCTTTTCTGGAAAAAAAACGATAAATCTTTTTCGGCTTTCATACTCTTTAGATTCTTTACGCAAACATCACCACGTTAATAAAAAGTCGTGGCCTCAACTCGTGCAGCATCGATTTTCTCACCAGATTTCGGCTTAGTTGTTATGGGTGATAATACGAAGCACTTTGACAGGCACATGCTCTCTAGCAGCCTCAGAGTGGCAGTTCAACGGAATTACTTCTCCAAACACCAAACTGATTTTTTCTACCTAGAGTAGGATATTTAAATATCAGATATTCTTCAGATTACCAGCTTCTACTCTGATATCATGCACCCTTGCTATCGATCTCCTTTGAAACGTTAATGCTTGGAAGAATCAGCATAACAGCCCTACATAGTATATGGAAATTGATGTCGCTCTGTGCGTGTACCTCTTCATTGAAGGCAGTCTCCGCGTCAAGCAAGTCGTATGACCCCGTTACAAGCGTCCTTATCCCTTTACTCTCTAAGATTCTCTCTACTTTCGCGCTTTAAGATGCAGCGAACGAGCTAGCGGCCCTATAAGTATTGATTCTGATGCCCACCGAAATTCAAAAGCTTTTTTTGTCACAAGTTCAGTTTCTAAAGGTCATTCGTTCTATTTTTTCACTGTAAGATTGCATTAACATTGGATGACGCAAAGAAACTTCTGATGAGCCAAATGCGGCGGAATATGACTTTGCTGGCATAAAACTATCAAATCCGGGGAATTTGTCCAGAGAAACCGCCAAGTCTTTACTTGCTGTATTCTGCAGAAGCACTCATATCTGGCGTAGCTTAGAGCACCTTATCATAATAGACCTCCACTGAATGATACTAGAATTTCACCAGCTATACCATCCAAGCGCCGGTGAAAACGCGATTCTCGGATAGTACACTCCCGGCACTGACTCGCGCCACATCGTAGCTACCGTCGATGACTCCCTACCATTAGGAGGACGTGGAATAGGTTGAAATGTCCAAAGGCTAGTTAAAAGGAGGATAAAGAAAGAAGGAAAGTAAGTTTGAAATGAGGTAGTGACAAGAATTCAATTATAGCTCAGTTAGAGTTAATACAGGAGTAGGATCATCGGAGAGTGGGGATGATAAAGCCGCAGATGGTGCTTCTTAAAGAGGCACCAATTTGCAGCTGATCAAGTGCGCAAATCTCGGATCGGTTCTCATCCAGGCCATCAACGCCTTCCATCGCCTCAGGTCCCACATAGTTGGTAGCAGGCAGTGATGAAGAAACATTCATCTGTATATGGGTTACAGGTCACTGCATAAGTCAAAGTACATTCAAGAATCCACTAGGATTCATAGAGGTGAATGCATGGCGCATCCTTTAGAGGGAGTGAGTGAGCAATACAGAATGATTAAAATCATCCAAAGTATCAAGCTTTTGCTGTTGATCAATTCCTTTTGAAATACCGCACGTGATCTGCTTACACTCAGAGCCATTATATATTTTGAATGCATGTGGCCCACACAATGACTCGTGGGAGCCAGCCTATATTCAAATCTGTGCTTCGCCCTGAATATCTGTTATCAAATAACTGCCCCGAAGGTAGGGAAGGCCTGGTCGTCCGGACGTGGAGCCGAACCGAGACTTGACTTCGTTTGGTAAGCGACTTTACAAGCTTTTTCATGCAAATAAGAAAGGAAAGACTTCTGCTGCCTTCGTTACTGCTTCAAAGTAGAGTAGATCAAAAGTGACTAAGGGATTAACGCTAGCTGTCACTACTTTTTGTCTATTCACAATAATAAAAACTGTAAACTAATCACATTATATCTGGACTTTGTCTCCCAGAAGGTCTGATCCAAGAGGAAAATGCTCCTAGTCAGGCAAAGCAGGAGCTCTGAAAACAGGGCTTTTGTATGCAATGAAGCCATGAATAACAGTGAACCTCTCAGAGGGCGTTTACTGACTTCCTAGCGTTACCTTTATTCTAAACATATGATGTAAATAAGCCATATCTAAAGAGAGTTAATAAGAACCAAGCTTACCGTTCGAGTTTCCTGTGTCGTAGTAGTTGTCGCATTCGATGTGAGCTTGGGTGGACCATCATCTGACATCTTCTGTCCGACCGCTACTAACCAGTTCGGCAACTGCTAGTTTCAGCAATTCTTAGAACCTGCAATATGCAGAACATAAGTCAACTTTCAGGACTGAGTATACGATGTGAACCAGGAACAAATAAGAGAACAACTAGCCAAACTACATTCTCAAACAACATTTTTGGCTAAACAGACGCTCTAAAACCAGCCACGGAGAAAAAAGTAGTCACCAAGCCAAGCATTTTCAGCAATAAAATATTCAGCGCAATTAAAATGTAGACGTGAAATCAAACGTACAATCCGCGCAGGTGGTCTCATTCTACGCACTTTTACACCAGTCATCACTGCGTGAAGTTTCTTCGGTTCATCCTGTCTTTCAAGTTTTTGTTGCTTTCGTGTGAAGCAGATAGCAAGCTCATTCTCTTTTATTACCAAATGTCTCTGTTCCTGTAGGGATCTGTACGATGTCTTTCCTTCGAATGAATCAACCGCATGCCGAATTCTTTTTAACATATTTAATTTACTATGTTTTTTTTCACAGAGACTAGAAGATGGTTGCTACTTTTGGGATCCCTTATGACGCCAAAGCAGATCCTCTTCAAGAGATGCGAGCATTCAAAGCTGCAATGGCAGACGCCAAGTCCAATCCGGACTGGCGTACAGCTCGTCAAATCGAGCGCCATCGCTGGAATCCGTACTCGTTCGAAGGAGGGTGAGTTTCCTTTTCCCTATACTACAAGGAATTGCTGAGAATAGGATATCTCAGCGGTGAGAGCGCAAGTTGTTTGCTGATGTGTGGCAAACAAATATGGTATCTAAACTGACGTAAACTACTGGGCAGACGGTTTTTGCGTTAAGTGTTACATGAGCAGTCTGAGATTGTTACAAATATTTGCAGTCAAAGTCTCAACACTTCATTAGAACCTTTCTGGGATATGCCGCTTTCCATCGTCCCGGAAGGTTTTCCATATATCAAAGGCGGCAAAGGCACTTCAAAAATGATGATCTGTGCGCTCAACTTCTAACAGCAATGTGGTAAGCAATACGAAAAGAAAAAAGCTCCAAAAATGCTGCTCAAAATGTATGTAGCGCAAAGCGAAACCGCGCTTGTACGTACATGAATGGAAGAAAGGGTGTGGCCGGACGAGTTCACACTTGCGGGCAGCTCTTGCTCCTTATCATCTCGCAATCGCCATTCCAAATGGGGGGGGGGGGAGTTAGGAAGGAACAACCGCACCATCAGGTGGCCCTTGAAAATATAAGTTGGGCGTTGCCGTTACCGCTGGTGGAAGACATGGTTCCTATGAGCGGGTGGCTCCTTACTTAAGTCCACTTCGTTAAGCTGCGCAATCACTCCACTTTTGTCATTACGAATGGAAAATCTCGAGACCATAACCGTTCTAGGAAGGAAATCTAAAATGTAATTAAGGCATAGCAGTCCGAGGTTCCACTTGATGTGATGATAGAGAAAAGTAACATATGCTTCTGGCAAAATAGGAATATTCGAAGGACAATTTTGGAGGCGACGACTGAGATTCTCACATACTCTGTTGTTGTTCTCAAAGGGGCGCATATACCATAGTTGAAAGGTAGGCAGCTCCAAGTGCTGGAAAGCAGTGTCTCGGCTTACTAGGGAAGGTCGCTCAGAATCGAAGTACATTTGTTGATAGAGATCGTAGATCACTAGGCGTAGTTTTGGACGCTGATCTTTGAGTCTGACTTCGAATTTGCAAAGGCTTTCCAAGATTTCTTCTGAACGGAGTTATGGAGCCGCGCTTTCCACGCAACAGGTCATGGGATCGGATCCCTGCTGAGCTTAACTTTTTTGCTTGTTGCGCAAACGTGGCAAAAAGTGATTTTGCCGTCACTACTACTTCAGTTCTCACCTGAGCTTGTCTGAAGAAAAGTTTGCCTCCATTATTACTGCGCTTGGACTACTTGTAGAAGCACCGTAAGTGCATTGCTAACCTCGTCATCGCCGGCGTTGATTAGGCGCGTGTCCAGCGGCCGTCAGCGCGTGCCAGGAACTATTTGCTTTTTCCAGGCTAATTTAGTCATTTTTTCCACCTTGTGAAGATAAGGAGCTGCTAATCTTGGAAAAAGTAGCCAAAAGAAAACTTAGGAAAAATTGGAAAAATTAGCTGAGATTCAAAATGCAAATAGTTCTGGCACCGCGCTGCGGCCCGTGACGACCGCCCTAAATCAACTGCCGCGGATGACGAGGGTAGGTCTATGAGAGATCCAAGCGCAGTAATAAAATGGAGGCAACTTTCTGTCAGACAACGCTCGCAGTGAGAACTGAAGTAGTAGTGACGGCAAAATCACTTTTTGCCACGTTTGCACAACAAGCAAAAAAGTTAAGCTCAGCAGGATCCGATCCCATGACCATGTTGTGGCGTGGTAAACGCGGCTCCATAACTCCGTTCAGAGAATCGCTTTGCAAATTTTGAAGGCAGATTCAAGATCAGCGTCCAAAACCACGTCTAGTGATCTACATCTCATCACAATGGCCACTTCGACCTGACGACCTTCCCTAGTTAGCAAAGAAATTGCCATACGGAAATGTACTGATGAGTTTGTTGGATTCTGTTCATGAGGGGAGCGGAGTCGAAATGGTCGTTGCTGAGAACACACGAAACAAGCAAAGGTTTGGGATACGCTTCCCCATACCTTACAATTCCTCCTGCATGTACAAATAGACTTAGCAATATTGTGCTGCGGAAGGCCATCAGGCATCTCTGACATTCCTTGAGCTTAGAGCCACCCGTGATGTTGAGGCGTCTTTTTTGGAAATGAAAGTCCTGTCTGCCAGCACGGAGGATGTACTGCTTTCGTAGAGCATAAACACGTGAGGAAAGCACCGCCAGTGGCGACGGAGCCACGGCTTCGCACACTGGCCACGGCTACGCCCTTCTTTCATTACTATAGGCTTGCTGGTGGTGCGGTTATTCCGCTAATCACTCTCTATTTCGAAGAGGGGTTTGATCAAGAGAAATAGCGGGCACCAACAAGCACAAAGTCGTCCTTTCTACGCCTTATGCATACACAAGCGCAGTTCAGTATGTGGTTGTACAGGAAGAGCGGGGTTTTCGTGCTTTTTTTCCAAACTTCTGTGCTATTTTACATCTGTTCACTAGTGTTTGAGCAGCCACGAATCATTTCTGAGAGCTGGCCTTAAATCGAGGCGACAATCGCTGACTTATTTATTTACAAAGATGGAGATTTGAAGTCAGAAAATGTAATGCCATAAAAGCATCCTGGTGCGCTAGAGGCTGTGGCGGTAGTGCTTATGCTCCGCCACTGTCCAAAAAACGCTCATCATTGCTCCTTTTTTTATCAGCAACCTTGTATTCTTTTCAGGTCTACGTGTGCTCTAGCTGGAGAGAATTTCGCCATAGTAGCAAGTGACACTCGTATGTCTCAGATGGAGGTCAACATCATTACGAGAGATGCCGAGAAAGTGCATGTTCTGTGAGTGTGTTTTGAAATAGGATTGGAAAAGGATGCTAAGGCTCAGATTGAAGGCGTTTTGTGTTACTTCATCATCGAAGCTGAAAATATCTGTTTCGATATCGCTGTTCGAATTTTTTCCACGAAAAAGAAAATCGAGTTTTGACGTCGATGTTGTGAAACAGTGACAACATGATGCTAGGATATCCAAAGCTTGCGTCTATCATGCATTTCTCCAATGGGGAGCAGTGGTATCTCGTGCCCGGCCCACAGTTTCAGTGGTTGTACCAGTTTCGCTAAGCAGGGCAAAAAGTCGGCAAGTAGCTTAAAAGAGACGGAACTGATAAATTGAGTTACTGGTACGTAGGTGGGCTCTAGACTAGCGTTCTGGCAGAGTAGTGCGAGCAAGTAAAATTGGCTGCTGTGGATGAGTTGTCCAGCGCAGAATACGACATGCGAAGGCCTAGTGTGGGTGACGATTACGGCCGCGGAGCACTATCTGATCACTGCGCTGTCATCCAGGGTACAGCATCGCGATGTGTAAAATGGTGGTGCCAGTACATTCTCCCTCTCAGAGGGGTACGACCCCCCCCCCCACCTAAATTAGGGTGTCGGTACGACCCCTCCCCAAGCACCTACCTACCAATTTCCCACATTTTTCAGTTTTCACTCACAGATAGGCACAACGGTCCCCTCTGT